TGTGTTCTCAGGTCACGTTTTACTCATTCGTCAACTCCTCAGCTGATCTTGTTTTCTCAGACTGCAGACTGTAGGATTCTGAATCCTCTCCCAAAGGATCTCAGCTGAGCAGGTTGTTCTGTAGGGCAATCTCACCAACACCTCCAAGTTATTGGGTTTCACAGGATCCGCAGCTGGGCCCTGGGTTGGCCTCAGACAGAGTGTTCAGATCCATTCTGGTCCCATCCCACGGAGATGGCTCCTTCCCCGGGTGCTGAGATTAAAGACGTCCCTGTTCCAAGCTCTTAATCTTCTTGTTTTCACTAACTCCTCAGCGGGTAATAGCTCAGTTTCTGGTCTTTATTAGGACCGCGTCTCTGCCTGCCTCTGTGGCCCCCCGCTCTCCCCTCATCATGTCTTTAACAGAGTTCTTGGAATAAAAAACTTGAGGGGGGATTTCATCATCTTATATCACAGTTTCTTAACTCTGAGTCAGGATAGAAAGATATGGAAAATTTGAGGGACATAAGAAGGTGAAAGGAGTCCCTCACACAGGAATCCAATATATCTTCACACTAATGACCTCTGTGGCTTCCAGCATTCTCATGGCTCACATACAAACATTCAGATACACATACTATATATATCTAAAGAATAGAGTTTGGATAAATACTTGATAACTACAGGTCACTGTCTTCCATGTTGGAGATCTTCCTCAGATGCTTTAGCAATATTTGGCTCTGTTGAGTAGAGGTCTTTGAAATACCCATTTTGAACATACTGAGTTTCACATGCTTATTAGATACACAAGTAGAGACTTTGTTTAAGGCAGTTCTAGTTGTGGTGTTTAAGAGGAAGGTCCAGGAAATTAAGTGAAAGTTTGCTTGTGTTCATATATCTTAGCCAAGTGAGCTCAGTTGGATATGACTATGTAAAGAATGTAGGTAGAAAACAGGTTGGATGGATTCCAACGCTGGAATGTGAGGCCTTTACCGGAGTCTTGAATTTGGTTGTCATCAGTAGAGAAACAGTATTTGAAGTGATGACTCCTCATGTAGAGCAGTGGTTCTCAACCTTCCTAACCCTGCGACCCTTTAATACAGTTCCTCATGTTGTGGTGACCCCAACCATAAATTACGTTCGTTGCTACTTTATAACTGTAATTTTACTACTGTTAGGAATCATAATGCAAATATCTATATTTTCTGATGGTATTAGGTGACCCCTGTGAAAAGGTTGAGTTCCCAGGGGCTGAGAACCACTGATCTACAGGAAAAGGATGTGGAGGTGACAATTTTCTACAGTAACTTCAAACTGCCCCCATGAAAAGCCTGCTGGATGTTGTATCTTTAACAAGGACACCGGCCTCATTCTCCACTAATTCTAAGCAAGCACACAACAACCTGGAGATTTCCAACAAAGGACCTCTTTGCCCTCCCTGAAGGTTCTGCTGCCGTCTAGTGGGTGGAGGCCTGGTTTGCTCTAAGCAGCCTGCAGTGCTCATAATAAAAACCAAGCTGCCATTTCCCCATCTTGTAGCAGAGTGTTGTGGAGAAACACTAACGTTACCCATGTCACGGTTCTTCTGCTTGTCACCGTTGGAAAAAACTCGAAAGTTGCAATGTTTGAGAAGGCTAAAGGTCTGTGTGCTAAGTTGCGCAACTACTGCTAACTGTGGAATTTGCCCTGAGGAGTTGTTTTGGCTCTCAATCTTTGTTCCTTTGTTTGTTTCATTCCTGGTGATAATGTGAGTCCATGCACAAAAATCAATACGAAACAAGAGAGATAAATGATTTTCTGTGGCTAAAAGCTCAGGACCAGTGTGAGAAGAGCACATGGCAGAGCCTGTGAAAGAAGCTTCAGGTTTTGTTTTTTCCTTATGTGCTTTCATTGTTGCCCAAATGATGGCAAAGATACTTTCTTTTCATTAGATTTCTCCTTCATGGCCCAGCTGGATCATTTCACAGATGTTCTTTTGAAGTAAATGCGCTAGGTGGTGATAGACCCCAGACCCAGGGTACTACCTTCTCGAGGGGGCGCCCCAAGAACCCAGACTCCAGTCCAGTTGATGCAACAGGTTTTTATTGAAGCGACTGTACAGACGGGCAAACTCTGCTCCAAAGAGCAAGAGTTGCATCTTACTGCAGCCCCATGGGGGCTTTTAAAGGAAAAACCCACAAAAGCCGTAAGATTACAATTTCCATACAATTTTGTCTCACAAGATCATGGTCTGATCACAGAGTGGATACAGTCACGCCTGCTTGTACATTTTTCCTGAAACCTCAAGGGGGATTTCAGGACGGGAGTGGAGTTTACACAAAGGTCACAGTGGTCCTTCCTGGAACACTTGCAACTATCCCAGTCACAGTTGAGCACGTCTCTTAACAGAAATCTCTTTACATTGTTATATTGTTGTAGGGGTGATTGAATAGTGGTTGAATCAGGTTGCCCTTGGAACTAGTTTTCTTTTTAGTTCCTTATTCTCCTGGGGGTTGGGGGGTGTAAGCCTGAAGGGTTAGGGTCTTTCAGTGGTCAGACAATATTAGTGAGTTTTTGTCACTTTGGTGACACGTGTGAGAGACACCTTCAGTGGAGTGTGCACATCAAACCCTGCCTTGTGCTCCTTTAGCCCTCTAACAAATGTAAAGGTGTTACTAAGTGTAGCTGAGGTGCTACTGGACGGTTGATGGCCTCCAGGGGTGGTCCCTGATAGAGTGACCACACTCCATTACGTAGTCCCACATCCACGCATGTGTGGACAGCACTAATTAGACTCAGTATGACATATGTGTGTGTTAATATATATAATATATGATATATATAAAATAAGGATGTGCAGTAGGGAATAGGGGCATCTGACTGGGAGGGGTCGGAGGGGAGGAATGTGCTGTGAAAATGATTGATGTTGTACAAATCCTAAATGGTCTTATAATAAAAACCTGGAGCCAGATATCAGGTTGAAAGATCAGAGAAGCAGAGCAAGCCACAGCCACCACCTCTTACCTCACCAACTCCTCAGCCTGGCAGAGCCTCTGCAAGAGACCAAATTCCTGTCTCCTCCTGCCTTATATTCCTTTCTCTGCCCAGCCATATCACTTCCTCTTTCAACCTTCCTAGTGCTGGGATTAAAGGTGAGTGATCCCATGGGCTGGAATTAAAGGTGTGTGTCACCACTGCCTGATTCTGTTTCTTTTTTAGACTGGATTAATCTTATGTAGCCCAGTGTGGATGGATCCAGATGGATCTCTGCCTCGGAGTGCTATGATTAAAGGTGTGTGCTACCACTGCCTGACCTCTGAGGCTAACTCTGTGGCTGGCTCTGTCTTCTGATCTCTGGGCAAACTTTATTTCTTAGATGACAAATATCACCACAGATTTAAATACATTATTTGAATGAATAAATTCTATTTTTGTTTTTTTCAAGACAGGGTCTCTCTATGCAACTTTTGCTGTCCTGGAACTCACTCTAGACCAGGTGGCCTCGAACTCACAGAGATCCACCTGCCCCTGCCCCTTGAGTGCTGAGATTAAAGATGTGCACCACCACCACCTGGTTTGCATGTATAAATTCTTAAATAGAATATATTTTTTAAAATATGCTTTAAAAACATTGGTAAATAGGACTTTGAAATGCAAAGTGAACAGTGCCAACACAACATCAGCAAGTAATGTCAGTTTATACAAACTTGAGACATTATTTTCTTTCTACAGCCAATATATAGGAAGATAGAAAGGATAATAGAGAAATGTATAAATAAAACATTTCTACTGAATAAAAAAACATGAAAATAAATGTATCTTAAAATCTTAAAGGTAAAATTTAATTTATGTATACACTTATTTACACATGTTTACATATGATTTTATTTACATATAAATAACTAGAGTCAGTTGCAACAGGAATCTTCTTCAGTTCTGAAATGAAAGCTATTTAAAACCTACTGAAAGGTATGAATTTTTAAAATAAAATACATGTCTATATGAATGCTGATTTTGAATACATGGCTTTGGGAGTATTGCGCTCCCTGCTAAATCCTAAGCTATTGGGTCACTTAGAGCGTAATGCCAGCATCCTCAGTATGACACATCAGTGCATTGCTTCTTCTCTGGGCTGGGCAGATGGAGGGGGTTTCCTTGGCCCTCCTTGGAAGAGGCAGGTTGCTGATAGAATGTGTCCAGGACCAAGGATGCTGTCACTCAGGTGTTCTCTACAAGGGATCACCTGGTCAGCCTTGTCTAATTCAGACCCATCCTCAAATGGTGTCAGCATGAAAACAAATCTAGGTAGGTGTCTGTCTCTATCAGAAGCAAATAGACCCTACCAGATACTGTTAAGGTGTAAGTCTGCAGTGTCTCCCCAAACACTGAGATGTTAAAGGCTTTGCCAGCTGGAAGCTTCATGCAGCGATTGACTCCTGAGTGCTCTAACTTACCAATGGGTTACTCCACTGATGGGCTCAGTCTGGTGACCATCTTAAGAGGTAGTGAAGACTTAGGAGGTGGGCTCGGTTTCAGGAAGTAAATCATGGAAACATGTCACTCCCTGCCTGTCCTCCTCTTTCTTCTGTCTATCATGAGGTGAAGGTGTTCCAGGGCAGGCTACCCATTGTTGTGTGTGCCTCACTATGCCTGGGCCAGAAGCAGTGAGGACAAGTGACCATGGGCTGAGACCCCAGAAACCAGGAGCCCAAATAATTCTTCCTGCCTTTGCATTATTTCAGGTATTTGTTCCAGGGAGGAGAAACTGACTATCACAGGCACGCTCAGTGATACCAGAGCGTCAGAGCAAATGGCCTGCTCTAGAGGAGAAAGCCCAAGGCACCAAGACTGTTGCTGCCCAGCACTGAGCCTTTCTTCACAGGACAGGCTCCCACATTCAATTCTTATTTTGTATTAACCAATTCCTACACAGTACCTCCTGCCTGTGTTCTGGGCACGAAAGGGTGTTTCTGCTCTGATTTCAGTTATCTTTGTTGCAATCCCTTTTCCTGATGTTAATGATTAACACAACCTCATTGATCCCATGTTCACGGTCCTTAAATGGAATGTGGATCCAAGGAGGTGACACACGTGGTTTTGATGCCATCTCAAGCCATGGGCTTTTGGGGAATACTTCTGGGTTTGGTCTTCCTGCAGGAAAGTTGGGGACAAGAACAAAAGTAAGTGAAGGAAAGCAAGCATCTCCATGTTATAGTGCGTGTGAGTTGTGGGTGTGATCAGTAGTCATCAGATTGTGTGGCTCTGACAGCACCGTCTCCTGAGGCACCAAGTGTGTGGGCTCATCTGAGTGAGAAAGTCACAGGGGCACCTAGATCAGTGGGCGGCTAACACACACAGCTCTGTGTTACCACCCACATCGTGTGTGTGTGTGTGTGTGTGTGTGTGTGTGTGTGTGTGTGTGTGTGAATATATATATACATATACACTTGGTTTTGCTTTTTGCTTTGTATGTGGTGTTTAGTTTCTTTGTGTTTCTTATAATTTTGCTACAGTTAAGCCACAGTTACTTGGGGATCAGCTCCTTTTTAAAATTAATTATTTTAATTTTTAAAAAATTTCATACAATATATTTTGATCATATTCTTTCACCTCCCCAAATTCCCTCTAGATCCTCCTACCCAACTTCATGTTCTTTTTCTCACATATAAAAACAAAAACAGCAGTGGTGTCAGAACTAGGGTCAGAACCTGGGCTTGCATGTTTGGTGTCAAGAAATACTCTGAATTCTTTCTGTAGCACTCTATCAGCCCTTACTGAAAGGCAGCTCCTCCTCACTTTTTCTGAAAAGTGGCAAAGTGTACCATGAACACCATGGGGTCGATCACTTAATGGATAAACTGTCTGATTCAATAACTACCTGTAGAGCATGGAATACATGACAGGCAGTGAGGGCGTAGCACGTGGAAGAGCAGTTCCATGAGAGATTGCATCAGCAAGGATGGGGGGAGGGCGTAAAGGGTGTAAGGAGATGTAGAAGTCCAAGGGCAGAAGTGAAGGATCAAGCCATGCACATACCTGGGTGAAAGCATGCCAGAGTAATGTTCCTCCCTCTCTCCAAGCTTGGGGCCATATCCTCTGCTGCTGGTTAAAGAATAGAAAAAGGTGAAATTCTTCACATGGGCACATGATGTTGCAGATACATCATTGAGGACCAAAATGTGTATGAAGGACTGCAGCCAGATTTAAGGGCTTGGACACTGAGTGTGCCATGTCTCAACACTCTGTCACAGAGACAATGGGAAGAACCACTAAACACTGAAATTGAGGCAGCCTTTAATTCCTAAGTTTTTGTCACATTTCAAAATTCTTAGTAAGTTTGGTTCAGAACAGTTGTTGAAAATTTTAAGTCTGGAAACAGACTTAAGTTCTTAATTCTATAACTGTCTAACCCCATGGCCCTGGACAAATGAATAGCAGTTTGCTGGTCTTACAATGGGAGCAACAGTAAAACCCCCTGTACCAAATGTTGTAGCAACACAGTGAGTGATGTCTACATAACATGCTGAGAATGCACAGTGACGTCTACATAACATGCTGAGATGCACAGTGAC